TATGATACCTTTAATCTAATAGTATATTCTATACTAATCAGAAAAAGGAAGCAGGATTCTTAGGTTTATGTGTCCATCTTTGTGGTTTAACTCTGACCAAGCAGATCTATTAAAGATGTTTGTTGGAATTTTGGGGGACCTGAGAGAAAAAAAATCTTCTTGATGAGATCTTTAATCTAATAGTATATTGTGTACTATTTAACCTATAGTACAATGTAAATCAGAAAAAGGAAGCGTGATCCTTCGGTGTACATGGCCCCCTTTGGGGTTGATGTTACTCTGAACAAGCCTGTCTAAGAATATTCATTGAAATTGTTATGCAACTAAGAGAAAAAATGTTCTTTATACCTTTAATCTAATAGTATACTCTATACTAATCAGACAAAGGAAGCAGGATCCTTAGGTGTATGTGCCCATCTTTGTGGTTTAACTCTGACCAAGCAGATCTATTAAAGATGTTTGTTCAAATTTTGGGGGAACTGAGAGAAAAAATCTCTTTGATGAGATCTTTAATCTACTAGTGTATTGTATACTGTTTAATCTATAGAACTTGATAAGAAATTACTTTGAAAACACTAGGCAAACTTGAATCTACCTCTCTCGTGCAGTTAGCTGATTTTGGGTTCATGACTGAGATTCTTTGTATAACATCATAGCTCTGTGTTTAGTCTCCTTTGGGTTTCATTTATAATTAGGTTTCATTCTTTATAGCTTAAAAATAAGTAAATAAGGCTTCTTCTGAGAAAATATAGCTTTGCTCAGAAACTAATGGACAAACAGAAAACAACAACTGTGCGTTGCACAGTTGTTATATCAGCTAGCAACATTGTGACTGAATGCCCCTCACCTCTCATGGTTTAACAAAATAAATTCATATTTTATATCCAATTGTGATATGGACGAGGAGGTGACAGTGTGGGGCAGCACCCTCTGCTCTAACTCATCATTACCTCTGCTAGGTACTCAGAGGCCTCCCTATATTTTGTACATGTATACATGTGTGCACTTGTGGGAATGGGTATGCATACCCATGTTTCCCAGTGTAGAAGCTAAAGGAGAATGATACTGGATGCTGAGTTATGCTATAATGTAAATTAGAAAAAGGAAGCATGAGCCTTGGGTATACATGATCACCTTTGTGGTTGAAATTTCTCTGAACAAGCCTGTTTACTTAAGAATTTTCATTGAAATTGTTGTGCAACTGAGAGAAGAAAATTGTTCTTTGTGATACCTTTAATCCAATAGTATGTTCTACACTAATCAGAAGAAAAAATCAGGGTCTTTGGGGGTCCAGGACCACCTTTTACAGGTTAACTGAATCGCTATTAATTATTTATATGAAATTTTTGGCACCTGAGTGAAAAAATGTTTAAAATAAACTGTAAGTTGACCATGTAGGTCCTGAAATCAATATTAAGTGGCCGAGTTTCCAAGTTTCACTGTCTGAAATGATGATAGAAGAAATATTATATAGAGTCAAGCCAGCTGATTTGCTGTTAAGGACAAAGTTATGGTATTTATTAAATGTAATTTGTAATTGCTTGTTGTTGGCCTTATATTCTTTCAATAGTTAAATAATTCAGCTTTAAACATTTAGAGTTGCTGGTTTCATGTGCTTTTGTTGTAAGAGGAACTGATAGGGCTGGGTTTGCAAAGCCCTCCATTTTGTCAGTGTTCCCAGTCGTTTCTATTCTGTTTGTAGCAGCCCCAAACAACCTTCAACTGGGATTTGTTTTGGTTCAACAATGACTCTAACCTACAGTTAATTTTAATAACTAAAGCCTTAAGGCTTTATATTTGCCATATTGTAAAAATCTTCACTGCTTATTGACCACACCAACACATTGAATACTGTAATCTGTATATAAAGAAGAATTTATTCTTGAATGAAAATAATGTATTTTGTTGGTGTTTATTAGAGTGAAGGTGAGGTGAAAATTGGGGGCCAGTGATGATTTACTGATAAATTGAACTGATGTTCTCAAGTTGAGCCACAAATTAGAATCTCTGAGAGAATTTTTATTTAATGAAAAGAAAAAGAAAAAGAAAAAAAAGAAAAGAAAAAAGGAAGCATACCAGACCCTGCCCAACCTAATTAAATCACAATATCTGGGAGAAAGGTCTGAATATTGCTGAATATCTTTAGGAGATTATAACATGCAATCATGACTGATAAGAATCAGCTGACACAGTTTTCTATGATTTGATAGACCCTGTTTATGTGAACATAAGTGCTATTTATTGA